TTCCATCCATTTGCATTCAGGGGTTGCTCCTGTCTACCAACTCCTGACCTGACCTCGTCCACATTATTCTTTTAGGTGCTTTAAGCATGTGATTTTACTTTACTTGCATTAAATAGATCATCATATTACTTTGAGCTGAAGTTTCGCTCTGTACCACATAGTTGTTCAAAGTGCTTTAGTTTGTTTACTTGATAAAAAGACTTTATAAAAAAAAAAAGATATTTATATTTATTCATTATTGTCTTATGCAGGGAATTTTCTGCACTTGAGCTTGTAAATAAAATAGTTATCTACCTTTGAAAACCGTTTTACTACTGTGGATGATGGCAACAAAAAGCAAAACTGAAAAAAAGCATTGTGCAATTTTAATCAGTAATATTGCTTTTAAGTTCTTTATATGTCCTTGAACCATTATACTTGAATTAAATAAACAAAGGGTTTTGAAACAGGAAATTTTGAATTGGGATTTTCCACACTGAGCTTTATTGATATCGGTGATATCAGCATTTTACAGAAGCAGAGATTTCAACAGTAGATAAAGTCCTTTTGGCCTGTGTAGTCTTATTCTTTACTAAAAATAAAATGTTTTAATCTTGTCTCATCTCTTTGCACAACAAACAACAGCAGCTGTAATGAGCCCTTCCAATATATATATATTTGTACCACTTCTGCTGGTGGGGTATTCCACGGATCCAAAACTCTTTATGCTGACATTGGTCACCTTTCTGAGTTTTTTTTGTATACGACCTACACAAAGTAATTGAAAAGTGTCCTTCAGTGATTTATGAAGAATATTGTTCAGCTATTTTAAGGCACCACCAAGACAATGGACTCTTTGTATTTCACAAACACTATTACTTGCCATTATCCAATGCACTCCTTATTACAGAGAACAGTGATTCAGTTCCCCAGTCACCCCTCCCATTCATTTTTCCTTGTTTACATGTGAAATAGCTGGTGCAGTTTTTCTCGGGTAAAAATGGCATATCTTATTGTTTTGAAAAAAAATCCATTAGGAATGAATTAACAATGAATGCTTGCAAACATTTTCCACATCTTTGCACAATGCATGTATTAACAGCAGAAAAGGGTTGCACAATTGTACTAATAAAGGCTGAAATTCCTGTACATGAGCCTAATATTGAGCAGATAAAAAAAATAAAAGTGCAAAGCAGGATGAATTTACAGTCTAAAAAAAGATAATAAGGAGGCAGACAAAAACTAACAAGGATTACTTAATATCTGCATGAAGTTCTAACCTGTTTAAGCATGTTTTACTTTTATGTTCATTGGCTGGAACAATAAAATATGAAGAGCTCTTCAATCAGTAAAAGCTTTAATGTGCTCCTACCAGCTTGAAAAACTTTTAGTTTGTTGTGATTGGTTGGCTTGCAAAGCATCCCCAGATAAGGTTCAATTTTTGTGAGGCTTGCCTAGTGATGTCATTATAGACATCATCGGAATTTGGAATAAAGTTACTTGGGAAAAATTGTCCAGCTTATTGCTTCATGAAAATTGGTTGGGTTGAGAAGCAGGTGGCTTCTGATGATGATGCACCTGCATGTCTTTTTTCCTAGTTTATTGAAACATGATAAAAGAAAATGGTAATTTTTTCCTTATTGCAGAAAATAGATTATTGCGTATCTTGGCTTACCCTTATGGTGCGGGGGTTGCCATCATTAGTCCTCTTTGATTAGTAGCTAAAACTATGCACAATTTGAAGGTCTGAAATGTCCTAGAGTGCATTTTTTGAGATGCCATTGTCTTGCAGGATACATGAAGCCAGACTAGCTCTTGATTACTTGCGCAGTTTTTTACTTCATAAGCAGTGCTTCTGACCACAGAGTACTCAAGATGGTTGCCTCATAGAGTAAGGGTAAGCCAAGAGATGAAGTGAAAAGAAGTATTTTCAAATATACATTCCTTACAAAATAATATTTACAAAATACGTATATGTAATGTTTCATTTTACATAATAAAAAAAAATAATGATCACTTTCATTTAAAACTATTTAGCACTTGATCGATGTCATTGTGCAACTGAGTTATAAGGCAGTCAGGGATTGGGGGTAAGACCACTTAATGTAGCCAGTGGCAGCTAAACATGTCAGGACTGTGTCAAAAAGCAGTGGTTCCTTAACAGTCCTAACGGTATACAAATGCTCTGTCCATATCCATATAGGGATTCAGCTAAATCCCATTCTGTTAGTTTACTTTGTGGATTGTGTTTGGAGCCACTGTCATTGCAAAGATATGTTAACAAAGTGATTCTGACTTTATCAAGTCTTCCAGAAATGCATGCACTAGAAACAAGAGAGAATCTCTGTTACAGTATTTTGTAAAGAAGAGACCATAGGCAGAGCTGAAAATGGAGGACTTGGTGAAACACAAGCACTTGCCATCCAAAACACTGTGAAGCACATTATATGAAACAAATCAGCTTATCACAGCAGCAAAAACAATACATTTCATTACAAAAAGAGAAAAAATAAATAACGCTTTATTTGTGGAGATAAATCTCATCTAAAAACTACTTAAAATAGGCAGCAATAAATGAGAAAAATCTTCTACCTGGCAGAAGAGAATGCAATTCAAGAACATGCAGTTACAGTTATCAAAAAATATTGGATTATTGATTCAGGTAGAACAACGCACATGTGCAAAAACTCTAATTTATTCAACAACTTAGACCATAACTACTGAAATGGTGAGCATTGCTAATGGCAATAAACTGTGTATACAAGAACGAGGAGATGGTTTCTTGAAACATGTTGCAAACATAGAGATATTAAACAATAGTGTGTAACCTACAGATAATTTGTTCAGTGTTTCAGCATTAAAGAAATACTCTAAGCACAAAAACTACTTATTGAACACGTTTTGGTGTATTTATCATGCCCCTGCAGTCTTATTGCCTTTTTCTATGCCATTTAGGAGTTAATTCACTTTGTTAATGCAGCCCTAGCCACACCTTCCCAGGTTATGATTTACACAGCCCCCACACTTCCTGTAAAGATACATATCTCATATTTTTAATTCCTTTTTACACAGTGTATTTAATTTAGAATGTCTTATCCCCTACTTGCAATAGTATTGAAGAGCCTAAAGGAGCCTAATGGGCGTGACTGAAGTTCAATTAACAGAGCAGGAGATAGGAACCTCTAAAGTAAACACACTTTGCTGTACGATCTGATTGAAAGTTAAACAATGTTTTCCCATGGAGGCTGTGTGGGTCACAGCCAGAAAAGGTGTGGCCAGGGTTGAATTCTTAAACGGCAGATAATTGAGCAGTTAGAGTAATCTGTACACCAAACCGATTCCATTATGCTAAACTTGTTTTGGTCCTTAGAATATCCCTTTAACCAGTCATGGATTTAATGTGAACTTCAATTGCAATAAATGCAAAATAACAAACACATGCCTTTTTATACAAAGGTTTTGAAAGCAATGGTGTATTTGTATTAAACATACAAGAAGAAAAAGCCAACAAAACCAATATACCAATATATATATATATATATATATATATATGTACATATATATATATATTCCACAAATACAACCGTATTTCATCTTTAATATCAATTTTTAAAGTGCAAAAACAGAAAATACATATTATATAAATAAATAAGAAATGGAAAATAAACATAATCTAAAGGTACAATACCACATTCCTCAGTGAAAGATAATATTATACATCACATGAACTTTCTTTTTTCCCAGGACCACATAAAAAAAGAAAGAAAAAGAAAGAAAGAAACATAATATTATACTGTAAAAAAATATTCTGTAAATCGCCCTGTTCATTTATTCATAGCTATATATTGCCCAATCGTTTTTCTTATTGATAAAGAAAATCCCATTGGGATAATAGTATCATAATACTTTTAAAAAGGGGGGGGGGGGAAACAAAACAAAGAAAAACATAAAATAAAAAAGGGAATAATACCTGACAAATAATATTCAAGAACTGCAGTTAATACCTTTACAAATTAAGTCTTCATTAGTCATCAAACACTATCATTCTTTGGCATAGAAGACTTGGACACAGATACTTCAAGGCAAAGTTTGATCTACAAAATAGACATAAACATTCTAACATAGAATGGTGGTGACCTACATGTCACATCACATTACTGCATATTTAGAAGAGAAAGGAATAGAACACTCACATACAATACCATACTGTTAAGAACCAAATGATGTAGTTGAAAGATAAATTCACTATTTAATGGAGATGGTCAGATGCATGCTGACAGACAGTGGCGGCTCTAGACCTTGTGAGGCCTTAGACAAAACTCAAACATGAGGCCCCCACTAACACCCAAAGAGGGAAAAAAAAATGTATAAGGTGCTGTAGTTTTATTGAAGGACAAGCTTGCAGTGCTGGATACAGAGAGCTAGTCTCTGTATTCATTGTTCACTGTAGTTATGGCATAATTTGCAAACTAAATTAATTTGTAATAAACAAATTTAATTAGCAATTATGCTAATCATTTATACACGACTGCGGGGTATGATTACATAGCTCTTCTTGTATACATTACTGCCAGTGCGTGTATTTCTGAGTGTGTCTGGCCTTATCTACCTGTGTGTGTGCATGAAAGTGTGTGTCTGACCAAGAGTATCCTTTTGTGTGAATGTATGTCTTTAGGAGTATGTGTGGGGTAGCTGCTTGCTGTGTGTGATGTTTATAAGGGCTGCCTGTAACCTTTGTGCATGTGTGATGAATGTCTTCAGTTTGTGACTGTGACAAGGTGAGTAAAGGGGTAACTGTGGCAGGGTGAGTGTGACAGAGTGAGGGGGTAATGAGACAGGGCTGGGGGGCAAGTGTAACAGAATGAGGGAGGGTGAGAATGATCGGGGGGCGATTGTGACATGGGCAATGTGACAGGGTGTGGGGAAGTAAGTGTGACAGGATTGGAGGAAGTTAATGTGACAGGCTGAATGTGGCATAGTTGGGGGTTGGATCACAGGGTTGGGGTGAATGTGCCATGTTTGTAGGAGGCAGTGTAACAGAATGGGGGGAGGTGAGTGTGACAAGATTAAGGGGGTTAATGTGGCAGAATTAGATTAATGTGGAAGGGTGAGTGTGACAGGGTTGGGGGGAGAGTGTGTCAGGGTTTGGGGTGAGAGTGGCACAGTTGGAGGACAGGATTGGAGGGGCTTATGTAAATGTGGCAGGGTTAAGGAGGTGAGTGGGACAGACTGATAGAGGATGAGTATGACAGGGTTGGGGACTGTGTGTGACAGTGCAAGAGAAGGTGAGTCTGACAGGATTGAGGGGGGTTAATGTGATAGGGTAATTGTGGTAAAGAAAGGGCAGGTGAGTTTGGTATGGTTCCTAGCTTTCAATGTAAACACTGTATTTTCTCAGAAAATACAGTGTTTACATTAGAAAGGCTGCAGGGACCTATAGTTTTCACCTGAACAACCTCATTAAGCTGAGGTTGTTCAGGTCACTTCAGTGTCCCTTTAATTGTTTTTTCACTACAGAAAGAAGGAAGGAGCAAAAGAAGAAATTGAATCCTTACACAAAGACACACCATGGTTTCTTACTGAGTTATCTAAAGGCTATAGGTTGCAAGTGGGTATTCAAGGAAAAATAAGATGCTGATGGAAATGTAATCCATTACAAAGCTAGATTAATAACAAAGGGATTTACTCAGCAGTATGGAGAAGGCTGTGATCAGACCTGTGCACCATAGCACAGCCTGAACGTTAATAACTATTGCAGCATCTAAACAGTTTCATGTAGAGCAGCTGGATGCAAAGTCTGCTTTATTAAATGGTAAAATATATGAAGAGCTTTATATAAATGAGCCTAAAGAATTAAAAGGTGTAGAATGTATGTTACAGAAATTGTCAGAAATCCCACACTATTAGTATATACAAGTTGCAGATTGGTCTGGGGGCAAATCAATAAGTGGCTGGTGACAAATTTATAAGTGGCTATGTGTTCTTATCAGGGCTGCCAATACAAATTTACATAGCATTTACAGGGGCTCCAAGAACCTGCCCCTGAGTCTGCCTTCAGGATCAACCCTGAGTCTGACCAAAGGGCCCACCACCCATCCCACTAATATCTTGCAGACATTTAGAGCTGCAGTCAGTCCTGCCCCTGTCCTGCCTGCTACCCTAAGACTGTTGAGCGAGCAGAGCTTCTTACAAAGCAGATCTAAAGTTGCATGAAAAAATAAAACAAACAAAAAAAAGTATCGGATTATTGTTTTTATATATTTTCTGAAAGTCGCACCAAAATGTAAGACACACCCATATATTTTTACTAGAAATGTATAAGAATAATAAATAGAATAACTAGTACAATCATTACAGTAAACGTCAGCTTATATGAATAAGGGATGTGTTGTGTGATGGTATAGGGAATGTAGTGTATGTATAGGAACTGTAGTCTGTCTATAGGGGTTGTGTTGTGTTTTTAGGAGATGGAGTACATGTAGGTTGTGTTTATAAAGGATGCAATGTGTGTGTTTAGGGAATGTAGTGTCTGTATATAAGGACTCCTGTGTGTGTAGGGGATGTAGTCTGTGTGTACGAGGGGAAGTACATGCAAAGCTGGATTAACATAGGGGATGATGGAGCTGCAGCTCTAGGTCAATGCTAATGGAATAGGCCCATTGATTTTTTAAATATTTTTTTTTCTACTCTTCACATTCTCTTGCTTAAGTATGAAAACTTAAGAGGGAAGTAGGGGAATAAAACTGTTGTGGACTGGTTGACAATGAAATTAGTTAAGGTAAAACTGACTTTGCACACTATGCAAATGCTCTTGCTGCTTCAGTCTCTCTAACACTGTGACATGCTCCCTTTTTCTATACTCACTACATACACCTTTTCTCTGTCCCAGACTACATAACAGAAGTTTCTGCCAGCTAGTAAGAAGGTTAGAAGAGGAGTGAACCAGCAAGTGCTAGGGGACAATCCTTAGAAATCGTGGAGCGAGTGCATCATTAGGCGCATTTATGCCAAGCTCAGGGTGCTGTCTGCACAGTATGCCCTTGGTTGGTCATCGTGGGACTTTGGGTTTGAGTGAGGGGATTAACAAAAACTAAAAATATACGAAACCAGAGGGCATATTCACGAAATAATGACTGCCCACTGAAACTGGTTATTCATGACCAGATAAGTGTCATTGAAGAAGTTTTCCAAATATTTGCTCAAAATATACATGTTTGTTTTAAAATGTACCAGATCTTACAGTTTAACGCAGGAGAGTGTCACCTTTTGGAAGTCAAGTGCCATGTCTGAAATTTGGTAAACATTGCGGGCAACACAACAGACACCTTTTGCAATGATCAGCCACAACATTAAAAACATTTGTCTAATGTTGTGTAGGCCCCCTTGTGCTGCCAAAACAGCTCTGATGCATCGAGGCATGGACTCCACAAGACCTCTAAACTTGTCCTGTGATATCTGGCATCAAGACATTAGCAGCATATCCTTTAAGTCCTGCAAGTTGCGGGGTTGGGCCCACCATAGATTGGATTTGTTGTTGCAGCACATCCCACACATCCCACTCAATCGGATTGAGATCTAGGAAATTTAGAGGCCAAGGCAACACCTTGAACTATTTGTCATGTTCCTCAAACCATTCCTGAACAATTTTTGCAGTGTGGCAATGTGCATTATCCTACTGAAATCAATCTCTAGGTAGATGGTATGTGTCAAAGTAACATCCACATGGCTAGACAACTGGATCAGCACATCCTCAAGGCTTCCCAGCAGAAAATTGCCCAGAGCATAACACTTCCTCCACCGGTCTGTCTTCTTCGTGTAGTGCATGATCGGACCAGATGTCGTAGCCTTCGCTCCCCAAGTGAATCAATGAGCCTTGGGCACACATGACCCTGATACAGGTTCACTGATTGTCCATCCCTGCACCACTTTTGGTAGGTAATGAGCACTACCTACCGGGAATACCCCATAAAACTCATTTTGGTGATGTGCTGATCCAGTTGTCTAGCCATTACTGTTTGGAAGTCACTCAGATCTGCATCCAACACATAAAATTCAAGAATGTACTATTCACTTGCTGCCTAATATATTCCACTCCTTGACAGGTGCCATTGTAATGATATAATCAATGTTATTCACTTGTCAGTGGTTTTAATGTTGTGACTGGTCAGTGTATATAACATACAATAGCAATGAAAAGAATGAAAGATTCAGATAATGAGATCACCAACTCTGCTTATTTTTGTTTTTACTAAGAATTCAATGTTAGGAACTATTCCTGTGGTAGCTAATCAAAGGCAGGGCTCCGGATGACAATCAGTATTTTTTGTTATTAATTATAACTTCCAGTACTTCATTCTGTAAAACATTTATTCATAAAAGTGCGTGCTTCCCAAATGTGAGGATTCTTGCCATATGCATTCTGAAATGAACAAACTTTCCCTTTTTTTACATACATTTGGTAAAATTCCAGGAAAACACTTCATTAAATTTGATTTGCAAGTAACATTGAAGGTCAATGATTTCAATTTGCATTCACAAAGAAGGGATTAGTTACCACTTTCAGGGGCCTCCCTGGAGTATGGAAATCTTGGAATCTCTGAGATAGTGAAGCCATATATTGAGAAGCATATTTTGCAAACTGCAACTTTAATATGTTTTGTAAATTAGTTAAATTCTGATCTTGAAGACAACATATAAAGATTTCTAATTTCATCTAAAAAGCTTTAATGTGATTAAACAGGACATGCACTAGTTCATCTTTTGACTGAAGCGTTGAATATAATTTATTTAAATAAAAAGTAATGTCCGCAAGGAAGAAAATTTTGGTTAGTAAATATTCAATGTTTGTGTTTGCAAGCAACATTTAGGGTCCAGCGACTCACAAGTGGCCCACAGGACATGGGTTGAGCATCCGTGGTTTATGGAATAGATCCATGGTGTGGCTGTGTGCAATCTGAACCTTCAGCCACATCCCCTAATAAATATCAATGCCACAAGTAGCCTCTTTAGAACTCTGCACGTTGTGGTATTCATTTATGGGGCTCCAATTGAATCTGCAATAATATATACATAAATGTATTTTTCCATGTTTGAATAGTGAATAGAGGACACAAGCTATATAGTCAGTAAACAGAAGCAGGCAGGTGGGAGAATTTGTACAAGAGGACTACAATCCACTGAGCTATGGTGGCTGCTGTTTTATAACCATGACTTTTCTTCTCTGCAATCTGACAAAAAGTAGTATGGTGCCTGAAGGTCACAGAAGGGGAGATTTATCAGAGCAATGAAAATAGTGTATTTTTGTGGGTTCAAAAAGGGTTTTTAAAGTAGACTAATAAGTGTGTCACCTTTCTTCTTTGTATAGACAGACGTTTGTTCCTCTATAGTTACATCCTACTAACTAAGAATGTTGTGTAAATATTCTGATGCATATTCTGCCTTGCTTTCTATGCCAAGGTAAAAGTGTCATAAAAAGGTCCAAAAATAGAGTAATGTTTTGGTGCAAAATATGCCTAAATATTAGAAGGGTGCAGATTATTTATCAACCCTTTGATAACTACCCTCGAGTGTTTGGGAGTTCCAGTGCACAGGGTTAAGGGTCAGGGGCATTGCTAGGATTAAAAAATACACAGGGCTTGAGCCCAAAAATAATTTGGTGACCTATCCCCACCCCTGCCCAATGGGACATTGAGGAAGATCTTTGAGCTCCCACTAATCCATAAAGGCTTGAGTACCAGTAACAGCTAGGGCTAGATGGCCCCAGATTCAGGGCTTGACCATTCCACTTACTCTTCGACTGAAGTACTAGTCTTTTTGCCATCTAGCAACAACCCTTCCATTATCAATAGCTAGCCTGGCAGCCTTGTAAACTCTACAGATCAGATAGCGTGGACAGCAAAGTATGACATATGGATATATTAGGAACAGATGTCCATGGGATGGGCTACATGTCTATCCCAAGATTAGCACTAAGCTTGAAATCAACTTAGCATTCCCTGTAACCTAAATTAGCTTCCATTTCAAAATAAATGCTGGGTGAGTGTTGCAGAAGAGTCAATAAGGGAAGAGTATAATAATGATATAAATCATCTGGTCTTAGAGAGTCATTTGTTTGAGTTCTCCAACTTTTGCTTCAGGGGGAAAGTAAGATAAGACAAAAAGAAGCAGTTGTCTGCACAGACAAAATACTGAAGGTGGCATTATATAAATACAAATACAAGGATAAGAATTGGCTTGTTACAGAGAATGAAGTACCAAACTCTGGAGTATTTAGCGAGCCATAAGGTTATGGTAGAAGTGGAGGTAAAGTGGTGGTAGATCGCAAAACCACTTGACTTGTCTTTTCTGCATTTCATGGCTTCATGAAAACCTGCATTTTAGGGAAAGATGGAAGTGAGAGATGTAAAAAAAAAAATAATTTTGAAATTAGAGCTATAGACAGTTATTATCACATATGCAAACAGAATATTCTGAATATGGCTAGAATATAAAACATGGTGAGCAGCCACAAGTTGAACATAAATAGCTGTCATTCACTCTACTTTGAATTAAGATATACTTGAGAAATAAAGACAAAAAATAAGTATTTTTATACTTTTACATATATTAGAATTTTAACCTGCAGTCATGAAAAGACGGTTAAAGTAGTCCACTTCAGGGGGTAAATATAATCTTCTAAATCTTTACTGCACATGCAAATATAGGTGTAGGGTTAGGGTCAGGGTTAGGGGTAGAGGTAGAGGTAGGGGTAGGGTAATGGTAAGGTTTAGGGTTTTGGGTAGGGTTAGGGAATTGCCGAAGTCCTGAATTCCCAAAGTCCCGAATTTCGGAAGTGCCAAACATAACTGAAGTGCTGAATTGAAGAAGTCCCAAATTTCGGAAGTGCCGAACCGAACCAAATTTTTTGCTCATGCACATCCCTTTAATAAGTATGCAAATAACAAAAACATTACATTTTGTACAGAAAGGAACAAAGTAACAGCACAAGTCAAATCAATCAAAATAAATGTATCCAAACCTTATAAGCATCAAGGCAGAAACACAAGTCACCAACTACCCCAACGTTTTGGCACCTACTGGTTGCCTTTATCAAGGGTACCAGTATCTGTGTCCTCATGTGTCTGCTTATAAAGCCCCATACAGCTGATGACCATGTAATTACAGCCAACCTTGGAAGTGACATAATCACCTCAGGTATTGGTATAATTCACTAAATACAAAATACTACATATAACATATGTACATAATAAAATGACAATATGATATCATATACATTTCAATAAGTATGCATGTAATGAATGCTACTTCCCTTGTATCCCACATCCATGCGCTAACAGCTGGGCGTGTATCATGTAAAAAAATGTGTACCGCTCCATCTTACTTGATGGCTATGCCCATACTTAAGAAAACTACACTGAAATAAATACAGGATAATTTCAGATAATGATCAAACCGGTAAGAAGTCAAATAGGATAATTAGACAAAAGAGAAAACAACCTTATCTACTGGGCTCAAGTATAAAGAATAGTATAAGAAATGTGCAGTGCTGGATGCACCAAATATAAATAGTGCAACCAGCATCACCCAGATACCACCACCACCACCACATAGCATAAACAAAAAAACACAATAGGAAATCAATCACCAAAATCAAGTGTAAAATTTCTATGAGGCTCCATAGTAACCATAAAAAATAAAAAGAAACAAATAAAAATATAATATCACAGATATCAACTAACATACAATGTAACAGGACATGGTGATGTATACACCAGATGTGCCTAAGAAAGGAAATGTGCAAAAAGCATGTGTGATACATGATAGCAGAAAATATATGACATACATGAAATAGATATTACTTCCTTAACACTCCCTACACCTGATAACATCAATGTATATGCACGCTCAATACTAATCCCTATGTGATTCATGGTAATATGTGATTAATCATTATCTTTTGGTAGAATATTATACATTTTATCTTTAATAAAAAATACAAATGCAATCAAAATTCTTATAGCCAATAAATCTAGATTAGTGGTGTTAAATATCCGCCCTGCTAGTATCTAGCCCACAGGTCATGAGTGCAGGAAAGGCCTTCTCATAAGTAAGTTTACAGCACTGTGTTCAATCTGCCTGGCAGAACTGACACTCCAGAACTGCAGGGGACATTAAGAGACCTACACTTTCACTGTCTAATAGCATTTTGGAAGCCCAAGCATTTTCCATTTTGGTTATCTCCCTCTTACTCAGCTCCCTTGTGCTGTGTGTAGCCTTGGACGAATGGTAGTGGAATAAGACTGTCTTTGTAATTTGAAAATAACATTAATTTGAGACAACTCATCGAGATGCATTTCCATAGCTAGAAATCTGGGTGTAACGCTACATTATTGTGGAGAGCACCACCTACTGTCTCATGTAGGAAACAACCTTTTTTACACGTCATAGCAGTACCCTCAGTGAATAAACAACAACAAAAAATAATGTTCTCTGACAAAATCAGAAATGTTGGCATACTGGCTCGTCTGACAACACCAAGACTCTCAGTCTATCAATGTTGTCCAAAGTTTGAAGGGCTAATGTCAATTCAGAAGGCACAGGCTATTCTCACCATGAGAATCGTTTTATTGTTTGTTGGATCGGTTCAAAATAGTAAAAGGCTCTTTGCTCCATAACAACTACCAAGAGCTATTGTACTTAGATCTGGAAATATAAACACACCTCATTACTTAATATTACATTGCGGGGTGCTATCGTATCCTTTACATAGGCCCTGCAGTGTGCCCAGAATACTCCTTTTACATTTTAGTCATATAGACTCCTGGAGAGTGTGTGGGAATTTATAGCTGATGAGGTGGAAAAGGTTAAATATTGCTTTGAGAGATTTTATTTTGGATTGCATTGAAAGTAAAAACAAAATAAAGACTTATACATCAGCCTGGAAGGGGTTTATTTGAAAAGAATGTTGGTAACTCCCCACGGCAAACCATTTAGTGAATAATAAACTTCTATGTAAATTGAACTGCTAATATTGTCACTTTTACAAACTGGCAAGGATAATGACCAGTTACAAATATTGTAACATGTAATCACTTCCCTCTGTAATCATTACACAAAATGAGTTGCAGTCTTTAGACCACTCAACTATTTCTAAGTTGTAATTATGCAGGTTTCTAAAACAAATACTTATTTGTTAATAAAGATCAGTAATGACAAAACAGGACTCTCTTGATGTTCGTGGACTGCATTTGCAATGATGCATGGCCAGCTCAAAATTAAAGGAGCACTATAGGGTCAGGAACACAAACATGTATTCTTGACCCTATAGGGTTAGAACCACCATCTAGCTCCCCTGGACCCCTCATGCCTCTAAAAGTAAAGTAAAATCTTACTTGAATACAAGCCTGCGGTTGCATAGTTTGTCCCTGTTTCCTTTAGACCTGCCCACTGCCTGCTGACATCATCAGAAGTAGCCTGATCCAATCACAATGCTTCCCTATAGGATTGGCTGAGACTGACAAAGAGGCAGATCAGGGGCAGAGCCAGCATGATTCAAACACAGCCCTGGCCAATCAGCATCTCCTCATAGAGATGAATTGAATCAATGAATCTCTATGAGGAAAGTTCAGTGTCTGCATGCAGAGGGTGGAGACACTGAATGTTTGGATGCATTTTAGGCAGCCATGACCCAGGAAGGATCTATAACAGCTATCTGAGGAGTGGCCAGTGAAGTTATCACTAGGTTGTAATGTAAACATTGCATTTTCTCTGAAAAGACAATGTTTACAGCAAAAAGCCAGAAGGTAATGATTCTACTCACCAGAACAAATTCAATAAGCTGTCGTTGTTCTGGTGACTATAGTGTCCCTTTAACTGCAGCACCAAGAATATGCACCGCTGATATACAGTAGATTGTTCTTGTGCTATAGATCACACATGATATTGTATAGGGCCCTTAGCAGAGGTTGTCAAAACTAGGATCGACTGGTTATAGTTTTGGCCGATTATCTTAGCCGATATTTGACATATTTCTGATAAATGGAATCAGTCTGGTAATTTACTGATCTTCCCAATAATATACTCACTTCTTCAAGTCATCGCACTCCATCTACAAGATCTGTAAACTCCAGTTGCTAGCTAATGAGGCGCCTCATGCCGCCCCTCCCTGTGGGCCCCCCCAACATGCTGAGCTTAACTCAAGGCAGGGAGGTGAGACAGTGAGTGACTAAGCTAAGAGTGTAAATAAGAGAGTGACTACTGCACATGAATCATATGCAGGAGCCTCACATATGGTAACTGAAGTAATCTCAAACAGGGGGTAACCCTTACTGATCAATATAGAAGCAAAAAATAGTTAGAGAAACCCAGCAGACTTGAAGTTTCACCCCGAGATTACTATAAATGGGTAGAAGCCACTTCATTAGGATAAAAACATAGAACTTTATTAGCTAAGATTAAAAAGGAAAAATGTGTCTACAAATGTGAACAAACTAGTGTGGCTAGTAGGCTGAAAATATTGTAACAACAGATATTCTTCGACAGAAGAAAGTGGATTAACCACTGTTACATATAAGGTCAGTAAAGAACTAGTTAATACATTTAGATCACATAGAAGAGGAGTGTCCAAAAACTGGACACTCTGTCTAGGCAACGTTGCCACAATATATCAGATAGTATTATTTAAGTACTCTTGCTAAGGAGAAGTTGAAATTATGTAATCAATTTACTCATGTGGTAGTAGGCAGGGAGTAAGTATACATGCAGCTATATAAAAGGTATACACATTAAATAAACTACTTGAGCCATAATGTCATAATTAGATGGATACTTAGAAACAGCAGCGCTAAGTTAGATGAACAGAACATCAATATGTACTCTGCCTATGACTCCTAATAAAATTAGATTATGAATAAATCTTAATTCTAGATAAACTAATAGCTCCCTTGAACTGCTTTGAGGCAGTTCCCAGTACCCACTAAGGAGCCCTTTCCTAAAGCTAAAGTCTATTGTCTCAGCTCTGACAATGATTACCAGCTGAA